TTTGCAACTCTATCTATGTTGGTCCCTAAGCTTTCAGTTTATATAGTCATGTCCCATCCTAGCCTATTTTCTTTAGCAAGATCCCAAATAATCTATCCTTATGGTGCTCTAACCAGTTATGTTTTAAATGCTTGGTTGTTTATGATTCGATTTGCTTTTTAATTTTAGGTTTTTGTTTTAAATTTGTGGATTTTTTAATGTTTTTTTGAAAGAAAAATATTTTCTATCTAAAATGATAAATTTTAGTAGATCTAAAATTAAATTATAACAAGTGAAACAATACATTTCACATAAGTGAAAAGAAATAGCCCAAAACAAAGTTGTTTTGAGCATGTAGGGATAAATAGCTCTTCTTCATCCCTAAATAACAAATTTGCTTTTCTTGTTTTTTTTTTTTTAGCTTTTAGCCATACTTTTGTCATATTTTTCTCTTTCTTATAACTCCTAAAGATGCTAAACAACATACCATTATCCTCCCATGCATTTGTATTTCATGTTTAACAAAATAAAATGTGATTTGACCCTTTGAAACCATTGATAAAATGGTCCAAATAGGCTAAACCAATCATGTAAGGCCAAAGAATACAACCATGATGGATGATTAGTATTAACACAAAGGAGCCAATGACTATGATTATGATATTAAGAAAGGTTCTAGGAGATTTATCATTGTCTATAAATAAAGGGGCAAAGCAAGAAATGAAGTGAGCCAAGCTAAAAAGAACATGTTGAGAGAGAGAGAGAGAGAAGCAAAAAAAGAGTTTTAGGTTGAGATAAGTGTAGGTTTAAGCTAGGAAGTAACAAAAAAGAAGGAGGAAGAAGGAAGAGAGAAAAAACAAAAAGAAAAAAAATATAATAGCCCGGCTCAACCTACTATATATTGTCCGCTTTAAATCTTCTGCTCTCATAGTTTTGTTCATGGTGACGTGAGCCTATTACTGAGCCTGACGTCCCAAAACACGTACAACAGTTTAGTGACCAACATTACTAATAAGGCCAGCAACTAACTCCTCACCCGTCAATGTGGGATCTTACAATCCACTCCTTTAAGGAGCCCGATAAACCCGTCAACATCATTGGGCAACTAGTGAGGTTGGCTCTAATATCAAATGTAACAGCTCAGTCCAACCCACTATATATTTTATGCTTTAGGCCTTTCGCCCTCACAGTTTTGTTCCAGGTAACGCGAGCCCATCATGGAGTGTGACGCTCCAAAACGCATACAACAGGTTAGCGATTAGTACAACTAATAAGACCATCAACTCCTCACCTACCGATATGGAATCTTACAATCTACCCCCTTTAAGGAACCCGACGATCTCGTCGATATCATCAGACAACTAGTGAAACCTGAAAAGAGAGTGGTTTTTGAGCTAGAAACACATGTCTTGAGCCAACTAGTAACTGAGGGATTAACAAGAAGAGGGATAGAAAAACAAAAAAAATAAAAGAGAAAAGAAATGGAAACCAAAAAGAGAAAGAAACTTAAAGCTAGATAGAGAAAACTACCTAAACAACCCTAGCATTATCTCTGCCACCAATGGCCACTATAATAGTCCACTTTTATCTGAAACTAGCCTCAAGGTAAGCCAAATCTTTATCCTTCAATTTTTCTTCCTCTAATGAGCATGCATGAAAGTTATACTCAAAAGCATTTCAATAAATATGTTACTATTATTTTTATTTACTTCATGTTAATATTATTTTTATTTCATGAAATTATATCTTTATATATATATATATATATATGTGTGTGTGTGTGAATATTTGTTTTTGAAAAAAAACGAGTTTATATCAAGTTTGAGTCATGTTTTGAACATATGTTATAGCATTTTTTAACACAAGTCAACCTTTTTTTTTTATAAATTAAACATGTTGGAAAAATGGGGTTAAAAACATGTTATAACACTTTTTAACAATGAAATGAACAAGAAACAAATATTTATTGGCGACAAATGTCTAAATTAAGAGTTAAAATCAGTTATATGCATCATGATGCATGCAATACTTTAACTTGAATTGCTTCGAAATCAGCAATCATAATTATATTCCACAACTTGTTTCACAGCTAGGTACACTATCCAATATACAAAATTTCACTCTAATTAAATTCAAGTCATTGGTAGCATAGCCAAGCAAATGAGTACTTTTTCACGAAATTATAATATTATCAATAAATATCATTATTGATAATAAAAATTAACCTTAACTCTTTATTTTTTTTAATTGAGACTATATTAATTTTTTTATACCAAAACTATCCTTTCAATATATATGTATATGTGTGTGTGTGAAAATAACCCAATATATAAATCAAGCAAAGACTTGAAAGAAGTAAATAAAAAACTACACTTTATGAACTTTTTCTTTAAGAAATATACTGTGAATGATGATTGCCATTTGTTTTGTCTCTTATTCGCTGGTAAAAGATTTTCAGTTGTTGAATCACACGAATGAATGAATTTCCGGATGCTAGATGTTGACAAAAAGAAAAGAAAAAAGAAGAGCGCTGTAGACTTAGGTACTATAACAATGAACACGAGTGAGCTTGAAAATCAAACTTCAGATTATTTAGCTTTTTGACAAAAGTGACAACAATGGCGACAGTGCTCGAATAAACAACCAGCTGTTGTGTTAGTTTAAAGCATGTGCATCATGCTACTAACTTCTCCCAACTGCAAAATATTGACACGAGCTGAGTCCATCTTGCACCACTTCTGAGTTTTGTTTGAATGTTAGGTCAAAGGACATGCTTGCTACTGCTCCTGCTCTGTACTAGTTTTTTCATTTAACAACGTACGAAGCCTTTTGCATTGAAAAGATAAACAATTTGGCAGCACAGAATAGCACTCAAAGATAAGATTATAATTTCATTTTCTAGAATCACTCGTCCTTGAAACTTCAACTTTCTCGATAAGATCCCCATATATGTCGTCGTTTAAGTGAAATATGTAAAGAGCAAAAACTTTGTTATTTAGTATCGTTGTTATTTATTTATTTTTTTTAAAAAAAGAAACCTAGCTTGTTTTTATTTCAAACTTTGAAAACATAGCATAGCCAGCAGCCAATTTCTTTTTTCTTGTTTTTGTTTTTATATTTTGATAAAAAAGAAAAAGAAAAAGAAAATTGCAACAAGCAGTGCTTTTCAGTTTTCTGTGCTTTCTTCTATTCTTTTTGGTTTAAATAGAGTCTAAAATGCTTGGGAGCTGTACTTTGGACACTAAAGCTTTTTGCATTTTAAAAATATTTTTTAAAAGTTTAATTTTTTAATTTTTAATTTTTAATTTTTAAATGTTTTAAATTATTTTGATGTTGAAAATAATTTTTAAAAATAAAAATTATTATTTTAATATATTTTAAAATAAAAATTATTTTAAAAAATCATTATAACTACATTTTTAAACCCCACCTAACAGATAAAGTGATAGTGATTGCAACTCTGCTACTTGTTCTTTCAACATGAAAATAAATAATATAATAAAAAGTTAGGGTCTCAACCTCCATGACTTAAATTATATCTTATTATAAGCTTTAGCAAGCAACTGTCACTACGATTAGAGTCATAAAAACACATACACAAGCACTTAGATCCTGGCAGAGTATTAAAGAAACCCTTTTCTTGCCATGGAGGAGATCAACTTTCCTCTCGAACAGCAAATCTAGCCTAGCTATATGTATACACAATTACTATTTCCTTGGCAAGAATATATTGCTAGGCTGGAGTATAAATATTCCCAGCAGTGTATCTTGCTAAGAAAGTTGATTCCACATGTGATCCCATACATGCTTTGATTAGAAATTAACTAGTAAGTATTCCTAGCACACGATATCCTGAAACTAGAAGCACTGGTATATGATATTGCAGCATTAATTTTCATCGCTTGACTCAAGTTTTTTTGAGGGAATGCTTAGAGTCAGATCAAGATTTATGTCAGACGAAACCTTGTTGCTGGGCTCAGGCTTGCCACTATTGGAATCAAAGACCTGATTATTAACATCAAGGAAGGTCTCCGGATCATTAGCCTGGCTCTTTGACCTAGCAGCTGATGATATTTCTGCTCTCAATCTGGTGAATCCAATATTGCGATGGGATGATTCCAGCTTCTTCTTTATATGAGAATTCCAATAGTTCTTCACCTCATTGTCTGTACGTCCGGGTAACCTTCCAGCTATCAAGGACCACCTAAATCAACGATATATATTTCATCGGCAGTTATTTAACCTCTCACAAGTCACAACACATGGATCATGCAATCAATTACCAGAGTATAAGTAAATAGTTTCGAAATGTAATTCTACTTTATGTCACCCTTTAGAAAATATTGTGCTTTTTTTTTCTTATGGGATCAAAAGTTATTTCCATTTCATGAAATTATTACAAGTTTTATTTACAAAATACATTACTTTTTATCTTTAATATAACTATACTTGGAGAATGTTATTAATCTTGAAAGAATCAATTTTTTTCTCCTTAAAAAATTACTTTATAAATATTAAAATTCCAAACCAAATAAAAAAAATATAAATATAAATATTTTCAAAATCTTAATTAATCTCTCATATTTCTTCTTAAATAAACTTTTTACTTCTAAATAATATTTGGAAACACAAAAAAAATCTTGAAAAAAAAATGTACCTTGACCAAACACACTATTTTTAAAGAAATTAAATACGCTGAAAAAAAGGTAAAATCTTAAATATCCTAATTACATAAAGGAATGCTCTCTCTCTCTCTCTCTATATATATATATATATATAT